TCTTTTTTTTTTTTATTGGTAATCTTTCCAAAAGCAAAGACCAGGGGAACTTGGAATTAAAAAACACTCTTCAGGGCTAACAAGATAGCTTGGTGGCATAAGCACCCACCTGGCAAGTGAAAGTCCAGAGTTTGATCCCAGGTACCACATGTCCTGCCAGCCTGGGACTCATCTCAGCACTGGGGAGGCTGAGACAGGAGGCTCACTAACATCCAAACTGCTTGGTAAGGTCCTGTATTAAAAATAAATAAAAAGGTGTATTTTTGTACTTTGCTCCAGAGGAAAAATAGAGGGTAAAAGCATGGCAGACAAGCAAGAAATCATGTGCAAACTGGAAAACATTAAAGAGATCATGAATAAGACCCTGCAGATGGAGAAGATCAAGGCCCAGCTGAAGGCTGAGTTTGAGGCACTGGAGTCAGAGAAACAGCACTTGAAGGAATACAAGCAGGAGATGGACCTCCTGTTACAGGAGAAGAGGGCCCACGTGGAGGAACTCCGACTGATCCATGCTGACATCGATGTGATGGAAAAGACCATCAAACAGTCTGAGGATGACCCAAACAAGCTGTTAGAGTCTACAGGGCAGCTGCAGGATGAGTATAAGCCCTTGAAGGAACATGTGGATGCTCTGCTGGTGACTCCGGGCTTGCAGAGGCTTCCTGACTTGTGTGCAGAGGAGGAGAAACTCTCATTGGATTACTTTGAGAAACAGAAAGCATAATGGCACATTGAGCTTCATGAGCCCCCTATTCCTGAGTCTCTGGTGCTGCAGTGGCTGCCGCCCAACAACTCCAAGTGGCTAGAAAGCAGGACACTTGGCAGACAGCCACCTCAGGCAGCAACCTCCACCTGCGAAGGCCTGCTTGTCACGTCACCGGCAAATCCACCGGAATGCACCCATGTGCCCTCTTTGCAAAGCCAGAAGTCAGTCCCAGAACCTCAAGAAACCCAAACAGAAGCAGGATGAATGAAGAAAGGGGGAACACATGGGATTCTTTTGTTCTGCCTCTTGGCCAGAATGACTGATGTCCTAATGTGAAAAACCCTCCCCAATCCTGCCCAGTTCTCCTATTTAATGTGATAAAAGCAAGGCACCTCTTTCACTTTTCTTTACTTTCTTTCTGCATTTGGCATTTCTAGTTTAGGAAGAGGGTTCAGGTGCTGATGACTTTGTTTGATCATCCATTTTTTCCCACCAACATTTCAGCCTCTCCCCTTGTTTGGAGTTGGGGGAAGGGCAAAAGACCCTCATGTAAATATCTGTTACTTGTACTTGAGACAGGAAGCTTAAGAGATGTGGGGTCTGAGGACTGCTGACACCCCATATATTGATATCATGAAAAAGCTCCAGTGTTTTCCTTCCCTATGTCTTTGCCTTAGGCTCTGAAGTGAGAACAGTCTTGCTATATTTTCCAACAGGCTGAATGAATATATTTCTCTCACTCCTACCCTGATCCTTAAGGCCCAGAGGTAGCTTAGACAAAACTTTTTAATAATTCCCTCTATTCAAGTCTCCCAGTTATACTGAAATTCTTATGTAATGGGCTTTGTGTGCCTGGGGATCCTGGTATCTGTAGACATTGTCCCCATACTTGTAATCTTCACTAATCTATACAAGTTTCCCACAGTGAAATTAAAGAGCTGGACTAGCTGTACAAGTCCCGCCTAACTCACTGCCTAAGACACTGGGGCTTAAGGATCTCTTCCAGGGACTTCATTATGTTACTGATTAATAGTTTAAAAATAAATAGTTTAGAGACTGGGAGTGGTGGCATGCACCTGTAATCCCAGCTCTTGGAAGGCTGTAAACAGGTGGATCACTACAAGTCCAATCTAGTGGTAAGACTCTGAACACCCTATAGACCCGTCCCTAAAATAAAAAAAATAATAAAAATAATCAGTTTAAAAGACCTCAAGCTCCCCAAGTGTCACAGGTCTCTTCTTTGCCAAAGCTCGGTCTCCTAGTCAAGTCATTGTTGGACTTAAAGGATGAGAATAGGGACACGCTGACTGAAAATCTTTGGTCTCAAGTCTTGGCCCCTGACTTGGACAAGGAGATGCCTTTCCTTATTTCCTTAATTGTAATTTTATGTTGCCACAGTATACATGTTCATAAGATAAAAGGTTCCTCTGCTCTTTGAAATTGTTTTGTATGTCTGTATAAATATTTTTAAATAAACATTTGTTCATTGGAAAAAATAAATAAATAAAAATTAAAATTAAAAAAAAAAACTCTTCAAATTCCTAGATACAACTTTGTCCTACAAGAGACACTGGAAAAAAGAATAAATAGGAACTTGTGTTTGGTACTATGGTTGAACCCAGAGTGATTTTTCCCCATTTTTAAATTTCTTCTCAGTTTTATATAATGAGCAGGTATTTCCTTTATAATCTGTGACATTTTTATGTTAGCAAACAAATACACCTATAATTCTAGTACTCTAGGAGGCTAAGGCAGGGGAATTGAAAGAGCAAGCCCAGCCTGGGAAACTTAGTGAAACTGCCACAAAGTTTAAAAATAGGCAGTAGATGGAGCCCAGAACAAAGTCTCTGGGTTCGACCCTTAGCAACACACACACACACACACACACACACACACACACACACACAGGCAACAAAAGATAGTCACTGAAGATGAGAGCCCACACAGTTTAAAAGCATTTTAGTTTTTGCTCCTTGATATGGGTTAGGGCTCAGGTGCCACACTAAACTCTTCCCCAGTCTTCTAAGACAATTCAGGAACCCAAATCATCTGAGATATTCCAGACGCTTGGTAGCTGCAGTTTACAGTTATGACCAAGTCCAAGAACCACATCACACACAACCAGTCCCGAAAATGGCACAGAAATGGCAGCAAGAAATCTCAGTCACAAAGGTACAAATCTCTGAAGGGGGTAGATCCCAAGGTCCTTAGGAACATGCATTTTGCCAAGAAGTACAACAAGAAGGGCTTCAAGAAGATGCAAGCAAACAATGCCAAGCCATGAGTGCATGCACTGAGGCTATCAAGGCCCTTGTCAAGCCCAAGGAGGTCAAGCCCAAGATTATCCCAAAGAGAGTAAACCACAGGCTCACTCGACTTGCCTATGTTGCCCACCCCAAGCTTGGGAAGTGTATCCGTGCCCTCACTGCCAAGGGTCGCAGGCCTTGCCAGCCAAAGGTCTAGGCTCCCGCCAAGGCCAAGTCTCCAGCTTCTGCTCCAGCCCAGGCCCCCAAAGGTGCCCAGGCCCCCATGAAGGATGCACAGTAAAAGCCTCTTATCTGCTGATGTAAAAACAGGACTGGTGTGACCCCTGGGGTGCCATCTGTGGGAGACTGGTGTCCTCCTGTGCTCTTTGTACAAACAAACCTGAGACAGGAAAAAAAAATCATCTGGGAAAAGAGATTTAGTGTAATAGCCTGCAAATATTTCTTGCCCCAGACTCCTAGTGTTGTCAGTAACTTGGGCTGCACGAAAGGATTTCCACACCAATTGCTGTCTAGATACTTACAGACCTGGAGACCTACTGTGGTGCAGCTTTGGCAATGCCACATTCAAGGAAGCACAAAGCACATCTGAGCTTTGGATGCAGCTCCAAATAGGGCAGTCCAGCCACCCCCATTTTCTCCTCTTCCACCCTCTCCCACTCAGCCTGATGCAGAGCTCTGGGTCAGTGCTCAGGCACTTTCCAGGATTAATCCCCACCCCTCTCATGCTCATGAAATAGCCTCCAAATGGTTTATGCAAGATGTTTTAAAATTGCATACAATTCTTATTTTAAAAACTAAAACTGAAAGTTAGACAATTAAATTGGTTTTTTATTCATCAGAATTTTAATTGTTTCAGAAACTATGTGCTAACTTCCATTAGGAACAAATTGAATGAATTGACATGAACTTTTCAAACATAATTTTCCTGACAAAGGCCTACAAACATTCCCCTTTTTACTTTTGACTTTCATAGAGTAACACAGATGACTGCTATAGAATGGGCCTGAAAGGTCTCCCAGAGTCCTATGTGTTAAAGTCTTGGCCTTCAGCCTGTGGCACTATTAGAAAGTGGTGGAACCTTTAAGTGGGCAGGCCCAGTGGAGGTCTCCAGGACCTGAGGGCTGCTCTCAGGTCCAATACAAAATTTAGGATGAGTTGAGGTCTGGGGTTCAATCCTTAGCACTGAAAAAGAAAAAGGTCACTTTTTATGGAGTGACATTTGGCCAGCATCCTTCTTCAGTTTGTTTACTTCAGCTACTCACTGAACCAAGTCTTCATTCATAAAACAAACAAAATCCTACCACCATCCTCCCTTTTGATATCATTTGCATCCATTTTGTGCAATTCTGGATCTTTTACAAGATCAGATTTGCACTGTGGGATACCTGCACGTAGGATATACACCGCATTTGCAGATGTGTAAGGCTGGTAAATTAATCAGAGACTAACTGGCAAGGATGCTGACATAGTGAGCCCAGCTCGATACTGATATGCATCACAGAATGCTTCAGCGGGGCCTAATTTTACAAGCTGTCACTTCATTAGTGAACATTTTCAAGTTCCCATGACTATGGTTCTCTGTGCAATCCAGCAACTGCCAATACCAGACAACAGATACTTTGGACAACAGGGATCACTTCACCTATCACTCCGCTTTCCTTGCAAGAATCTACCTTCAGGGTCTTTGTCTTCCCCTCCCTTTCCTCTTTCCCACTATCTGGATTTCTGTAGCTCTCTGTCCATTATACTGCACCATGAAAGTCCACCAATTGATCTCACAGAGATTCGCCTACACACACACACCTTCAGAATTCCCTGGGGTTTGCTTCAAATTTAACACATTAAACTTCTCGGGACATTTAAGGTTTATAATTTTGGTTAGAACTTTAGTTCCAAGTCAAATATGTGTTTTTAAGAGCAAATAGTATGACTCTTAGTAAATTTTTTAAAATCACATGGTATAATCAAAGTCTTTCTTAAGAATCTCAATGACAGAATGATGTGTTAGAACCCTCTTTAGTGTAAATATGAACACAGTCGTCCATCTGTAAATACAATCACCTATTTATATTCAGTTTTCTCTGCATTTAGGCCTACTGAATAGGTTATTAGTATTATGTTTTTTAGTTCTTAAAACTTAGTTCTAAGAATGAAATATTTTCTGGCTGTGATGATTCCAAACCATTACCAGAGACTGATTTGAGCAATAGTTTCACTTTATAATTTCAAACTCTGATTTTTAAATAAATTAACATCTAAAACACTTAGGTTATTGGATAGCGTATTCTTGAAATGTGTGTAAAATATACAATAATTTATTTTCCTCTTCGCTGTTTTAAGTAAATTGTTATTGAGTTAAGGATATAAATTTCAGGGTATACTGTAGTTTGCCAAATTCTGTAATCCCTTTTTAAAAAGAGTGTCATACAAGGTGTGGTGCCTTTAGGGTACTTTTAAAAAGTTGCAGTTCATGGCGTTTTGATTTTTTTCCTTCAACTTTAAAAAGCGGTAAAATAATCTAAGCTCTGCAGGGAAGTTCTGGTTCCTATTATAGGCTCTTGGCTTTTCCCACTCTGAAAATAAAATCGTACCCAGTTTTATTTATTTCCTACTCTGAAGTGTTTATATTCTTAACATTAAAAGTTCATTATTGGATGTGAATTCTTGATAAGCACTAATGTTTTTGCTTATAAGGCTGAAATTAATTTAGAAGGTACAAGTGAGACATCAAAATTAAGTTATATAGCCAATGGGTATGCTTTATAACTTCACGTTTTCAGTGAACTCCTTCGATTCTGGTTACTTTTTTATTATTACTTCCTGGTTGTTGAGATGCACTTAACAAAACAAAGGTTTAAGGCTAGGAAGATAAGATAGCTCAGTAGAATAAGTGCTTGCCTAGCAAGCACAAAGTCCTGAGACAAAACAACGGTTTAAATTTTTCCTGTAATTAAATTAAAGGAAGCCTGATTCCACAAGGCTTGAATATACATCCGAACAATACTACAAAAATGTCTTTTTTCCAATTTTTAGAAAAACTTCTAATCACAGAGAAACCCCACAACGCGAACATAGGGGATCACTGATATTAGATAATTCAGGTTGTGTCCTGATTATCTGACATTTAATGACACTTCGCTCCCAAAGTGTTGACCTAAAAATGCGTATTATGAATGTCCACACAAAAAAAAATCGAATTTCCCTAGTCACGTCCCTACATGAATAAAATCAAAAGAATCTACTGAGACTGGTGTTTGTGTGTGTGTGTGTGTGTGTGTGTGTAACAGACTACGGACAGGAGTTAAAATATGGTATAATTTCTCTTCTGCTTTATGTTTTCCCTCGTTGGAGCTGATATTTTACGTAGACAAAGGGAGAACCCCAAGGTTTCCAACAAACAGCGAGCGCCAGTACTCAGTTATAAGCAGCTGAGGGTAAACAGCCCCCCAGTACACCCCGAGGCGGTCCGCGCATCGCCCGCGCCCTGCATCGCGCCCGCCTGGGTACCACGCCGCGGGGCCGCCCGCCGCGTCCTTCAGCCCGCGCGAGGTGAGCGCAGCCGGCCGTGGGTGCCGGGAGGGGACGCCCGCCCGCCCCAGGAGAGGAGGCGGCCCTGGCCTCGGAGCCGCCCTCCTGCCGCCGAGAACAAACGGGATATTCAGCGGTGCGGGAGGCTGCC